ACTGTGCACTGCAGTATGTGGTTTCGGATGCAGCGATTGTTTTAGCATGTAATTTAATTAAAAAAGCCTTTGACGCTACCTTGATGTCAGCACCCGAGAGGTCTTCTTTAGCCAGGATGAGTTCATCCAAAGTCACGTCATCTGCTACGGTCATCCTGCTGGTGTGGATCTGAAAGATTCTGCGCTTGGTCTTCTCATCCGGCAGTGGGAACTCAATTTTACGATCAATTCTACCTGTGGAATCACACAAAGGGAACACCTACGTTTAGTCTATATGTAATGTAGTTATGTGCACTTTAAACCCGATGAAAATCTCCACACTAAAGTTTGACATCAGATGTTTGTCTCTGGCCAGTGAGTCCACTTTGATTTAATTATCATGTGAAACCCACACCAGAAATAAACATGTTAAGCTGACTCATTCACCTGGTCTAATGAGAGCTGGGTCAAGTGTCTCTATCCTATTAGTAGCCATGATGACTTTGACGTCCCCACGGGAGTCAAATCCGTCCAGTTGGTTTAGCAGCTCCAACATTGTTCTCTGGATCTCCCGCTCTCCTCCGGAATTTGAGTCATACCTGCAGTGCAAAGGAACAACAGCAAACATCAGTGTTTATACAGTCTAATCTGCACCTGATATACACACACGTGGTCGCACATGAGTTTTCTATTCAATGGTATATTCTATATAAATACAACATAGGATAGATGTTTTCAGTGTCAGTTGCAAAATCCACCAATACAAAGAATTGTCCCATCTCGTCAAAGAATAATACAAATTGTTTTTCATTTTTTTGTGAATTATGAGTAAATATTGTGTTGGGCATGGTTTTGCAGTATTTTTGATCAAATAAATGCAGCCTTGGTGGGCGTAAGAGACTTCATTAAAAAAACATTAAGAAAAAAACCTTACCAACCCCAAACTTAAACATGAGCTTTAAAATCCCCAGACTCACCTCTTTGTGCCTATAGCGTCGATCTCGTCTATGAAAACGATTGATGGAGCGTGTTCCTCAGCCACTCTGAAGAGCTCTCGCACAAGTTTTGGACCATCTCCCAGGTATTTCTGAATAAGCTCTGAGCCCACCACCCTCAGGAAGGTGGCAGACGTCTGGTTCGCCACTGCTTTTGCCAGAAGAGTCTTGCCTGCACACCCAGAATATGTAATATCAACACAGAAATCTGTCACATGAATGCGATATTGGGTTTTGAGACCCATCAGACTGACCTGTTCCCGGTGCACCGTACAGAATAACTCCTTTGGGTGGCTTTATTCCCATCTCTTCATAATACTCTGGATGTGTGAGGGGAAGCTCCACAGACTCCTAGAAGGTCAAACATGCCTTGGAATTAATTTTGATTTCATATAATTTGCTGATAATTTTTTTTCTAGTGTTCTTGTACATGACTCATCAGTACATGATGTTGTTCTAAGGAAGAAAATGTTATGAAAAAAAAACAGACATTTCATCAAAATATTCAATCTCTGCTTCTGAAATTTTCTGCTAACATAAGCTCACGTGGGCAGAGAAAAATTGGCAAAAAAAATTATATTGCACCCTTATATGACCCTTTTTTTTAATCCAATCAAAGATAAAAAAAAAAAACTTTTTGCCGTTCTTAGCCACTTTGAAATTAATTAGTTCTTAGTTTCTTAATCAATCTTAGTTTCAAGATGATAAGAAATTGCTTAATATTTGATCATCCTTTGTTGCTTTTAAAAATGTAAAGATACCTTTCACATATCCCTAACTTATTGACAATTTGGTTTAGAGTAGACTAACCAGACAAAAATTAGACGAATAGAAATGTCTTTATAACCAGACCTTGAAAATGTTGGATAGGAAGCTAATAAGGCGTCATCATTTTTATATCTTAAGTACATATAAGATGGTAAGCTTTGCTCATTTTGTTTATATTCACTATGTGAATCTTGTGTTCAAATGTTTAAATGGTCTTGCTCCTCAGCCTTTATGCAATTATTTTGATTGGTGAAGCAGATCCACCAGAGTGGCTTCTAGTTGCAACTGTATTTGCTCAGACTGCAACATTTTGGAACCTGTTTATTTAAAATCTAATGCTAACTTTAATATTTTAAGAGAGCTACCAGATCTTGGTTAATTCAGCAACAAACTTTATTTTATATATATATATAGTTTTTTTTAAGGTTTATGAAGGCATTTCTAGGGATGCGTGTTGCTTTGCTTTAAGCATTATGATACTTGTCTTGTATAGGATGGCTGTAGTTTCAGTTTTATCTATGTACATTGAATCCGTCCCTACTCAAATAAACCATAAATAAATAATCAGTTTTAAGTCTGATCTATTACCTTGATCTCTTGAATCTGGTTGTCCAGACCTCCAATGTCTGCGTACGTCTCCTGTGGGGCCTTTTCTACTTTCATTACAGTCACCAGAGGGTCCGTGTCATCCATCAGCACCCCGATTACTGCATGAACCTGCAAACATTTACATCACTCAAATTTCATTACGGAACTACTACAATGAATGCATAATAATAACAATACGGCATAATAAATATTTGGTAATAAAATTGATTTCTGTGAGTCAATATTTTTGTCTATTTATTGATTTGAAAGACTTTTACTAACCTTGTGGTTCAGTAACACAGAGCAGCCGGGCTCAAGGAGGTCTTTATCTACAAATGACAGAATACTGACATAATGTTCAGAGCCCACTGAAGTCGAAACAATGGCATGATTATCATCAATGATCTCCTCCAGAGTTCCCACTGACATGGGCGTCCCTCGGAGATCATCCACTTTAGATCTCTCCTCCTACAAAACAAAACATTATGTCAAGGGATGGCATGGTTTTATCTTCATTTGTGTTTGTAAAGGGTTAGTTCACCCAAAGTTGAAAATTCTGCCGTCAATGAATCACTCTCATGTTGTTCCAAATCAATAATAAATTCGGGCATTCTTGAATGAAATATGAGAGTTTTCTGTTCCTCTATTGAAAGTCTATTGACCCAAAACTCTGACGCTTCAAAATGTTAATTAAAAGATTGTAGAATAAATCCATATGAATCGAGTGGTTTAATCCAAGTCTTCTGAAGAGACATGATGATTTTTCGAAGAACCAATGAGGTTTGATCTTGCACACCAAGCAAGTCCATTTGAGCTTGTTTGTTTGCTGATCAATGTTTATATGTGAATAAAAGCCTAAATTCTATCTGTTCATCATATAAAGCAATTGTGTCTCTTCAGAAGATTTGGAAAAAACAGCTTGATTGATATGGATTTATTTTAGGATTTATTTTTTAATCAAGTTTTGGGTGAATAGACTTTCGAAGGAGGGACATAAATCTCTATTTTTTTTATTTAAAATATCTTCTTTTGTGTTCAGCAGAAGAAAGAAATTCATACAGGTTTGAAACAACATGAGGGCGAGTAAATGATGACAGAATTTTCATTTTTGAGTGAACTATCCCTTTAAGACCTTTCATTAAATATTTGTATTCTACTTTGTAATGCCTATTTGGGCCAAATTATGGTTCTTTTAAAGCATATATACTGAGTATAATGGAATATATTGTCTTTTATGTTATGGAATATATAACATAAAAGACACAATAATAGGCATGTTCACCTCCTGCTTCTCCTCCAGAGGTTTCATCTGCTCCTGGTTTCTGATGAACTCCTCCTCCATCAGCAGATAGTCTTTAATTCTCTCTTGTTTGAGGAGTTTCAGTCTGCACTGTGTGTGTGGAGTGACTGAGGAAAAAAATGATAGTTACATCTCATGATTTTATGGATCACTACAACTATTCATGTATGAGCCTCTCATCAGGTTTGGTCAAGGTATAATGATGTTTATTTTACCCAAAGGCAGTTTGCTAGCAGCATCTGGTCCCTTCACTCTCTTCTTCCTTTTCCCAACTCTTGTAGGAATGGGAGGCTCGTATTTCTTTTTCTTATCCTAAAATTCAATGCACAGGAAATTGGTTTGATGATTAAATTCCTCAAACAAATTCCTAATGTTCTAAATGGCTAGATTTCTCCAATACGAATCTCTTCAGACTCTTTTCATGTCATTTCTTTTAACCACTTAATAGTAGTATGGGTATTTGTGAAATAAATTCTCACCTTGTCATCTTTCTTCCCTCCACCAGGTCCTTGTCCTCCACTCTGACTTTGACCCTGTGAAATTAAACATTCATTTAATTTATGTCTATCATCTACAATGACTCATATTAGATTTATCATATATATATCTTATGTTATGTTATCTTTAAATATATATATATATATATATATATATTATGTTATCTTTAAATATATGTTATGTTATATATATATACATACAAAAATACACACACATACATACATACACACATTAGGCTGAAATTTATATTTGGCTTTATGTTGTATGTCTTTGACTCGTGCGTTTATCCATTTTTGCCTTAATACCAGTACCAATGTGTAATGATATGTGAATATAATAACAATAACGAGCTGACGTTATATTAATCATTCATTTGTTCTCTTTTTATATAATACATTGATTAAGCTAACACTAAAAGCTAACGTCCCGCTTTACTGTCTATCACACACTACAAAATTGAGACAAATGCTCAAGAGTTCTAAATATGCATTGTTCATTTCTAGACCAGAAATACATATATTTTAAAGATAAAATAAACCTTTTAAAAAAGAAAAGGGAAATATGCTGTCTCACCATTGTCGCTTGATGTCTGTTTCTCTGTGTCTTCTTCTGCTCTGGTAGATCAAGTCAATTGTGCCCTCTTCGCCACCTTCTGGAGAGGAGGGAGCAATGAGGTCCTCAGTACTTGTTCGTGATGTCACATATGGGAGCGAATTAGTTCATATTGTTTCTAAATATTTAACTAGTTGGTTATTAAGTTTATAAGCTTCTATTATCAACGATTTGACGCTATAAGAGAGCTAGACCCAGAAATTATCGCGAGAGTACGCTGTTCACAAACAAGCTATTTGGTTAGGGTCTCGCGAGACTTTCACAGTATGAAGGTTACCAATCCTTGGTGGTTACCATCTTGCTGCGATCCCGATCACTAATGTATTTATGAACCCGAATAAAGTAATGGGAAGCGTTGAAACCTTTGAGTGTCTTGAAGATTTTAATACATGTCTTCAGCAGTATGAGGAGGACACGAACACAAAATTTATCGTTTTGAAGAGCGATCGTGCATTTGGAAAAAGTGGTATGTTTAAAAAGCGATGCCATCTCAGGTTTTATGTTTTAATGAATGATCTTTAATATGTTGATCATAGTCAGAGTTGCTGCCAACTCTAGATATTTTTAGGGCGTAACTTGGCCTGCACATTTAGAGTTTTTCTAAACGATTGGGTTGAAACCACAGGCAAACCCCCTTTAGACCTAACGTTACATTGAATTAAGAACATGGACCATATATTGACATAACTTATGAATATCATGAAGATTTGTTGGTGGTTTGAGTTGTATTGCTGCACAAATCACCTAGCAACAAACAGAACACACTAGCAACGCCCTAGCAACCCCACAAACCTTCTTGGAACCTTGACTGCAACTATAAACTATCTTGATAATTGATTTGTTTGTTGAATTGTTTGTTTTTTTGGTCGTCAGTTATCTTGCCCAATGCTCTAACAACCACTCAGAACACCTTAGCAACCTCATTGCATTGCCCTAGCAACCACTTTAACATACGTTTGGCAACTATCCATAATACAGCTCCACTCAAATTTCTTCTTCCCTATGTTTTATTCCCAATGTAGATTTGACAGTGGAAAAACAGCTGCAGTGGGAAGTGAAGATTGTTCCGTTCAATGGCGTGCCTTTTAAGATTCTTGGGAAAAAGACATATGTATGTCACCAAGGAAGAGACAAGCACGCCAAAGCCAAACAAAGACGTCAGGAGAGTAAAGTACGAGCTTCTCGCACAAATGTCTGATCATTTTTTTGACTGACCTCATGACATTGACATTTATGCTCCGTCTCGTCTTCTGTTTCAGGCAGAAGGTCATGAATATCCATGCCTGAAAACAAGACGCTTGATGCAACCAACTAAAAAAATGGGTTGTCCTGCGACCATAAATGTGATTCATATTGTGAGGTTTCCTGAGTATAAGGTAAAAACTTACAGTGTTAGTTCACCCAAAATGAAAATTATCCCATAATTTGCTCACCCTAACGCCATCCTAGGTTTATATGACTTTCTACTTTCTTGTTTGTGTTTGTGTTGCCAGATAACTGAAGATAACCCTTACCAGAAACGAGAAAAGTCATCAGCTGTTAGAGAAGCGCTAAGACTTGATCCAAAGCGTGTGCGAACAGAAGAAATGTTTGCAGCCAGTTTCCCAGATATTAAGGAGCATCAAAACCACCCCATTAATGGAAAGGTTTGTGCCGTAAGTATTGTTCTCAAGTCATGACAGATTTACTTGGCCGTTGATTATTCAATTGTCCCAATTAGTTTGTATATTAATAATATTAATTATTATTTGCTCTCTTTAACAAAAATGAAATGATTTTTGCTCTTTAACAAAAATGTTTTCAAATAATACAGTACTGTTCAGAAGTTTTTAAAAATATATATTTTTATTCAGCAAAGATGCAAGGATCTAAAGTGACAGTAAAGACATTTGTAATGTTACAGACGATTTCTGTTTCAAATAAATGCTGTACTTTTGAACTTTCTATTCATCAAAGAACCCTGAAAAACATCTATCATGGTTTCCACAAAAATATTAAGCAGCACTGAAGTATTATGTGACACTGAAGATGAGAGTAATTATTCAGAAAATTCACCTTTGTATCCCGGGAATAAATTACATTTTAAAATGTTTAGTTTTACTGTATTTTTGATCAAATAACTGCAGCCTTAGTGAGCATAAGAGACTTATTTAAAAAAACATTAAACAGCATATCGTACTGACCCCAAACTTTTGAATGGTAGTGTATGCTGGGAAATTGATGGGTAATTTCATTTTGTTCTGCTTTAACTTGCAGGAATCAAGAGACATTTGGAACATCATAAAAAAAGTCAAAGCAGGAAACAGGAAGTCCAGTGTGGACCATCATAATCTACAGGTAAAGTCACAAGATTGAGGTGTTGTTACAAATAAACTGTGATAGGCAAAGTCAACATGAAACCACATTCAAAACTAGTTTTGCTTCGTAATATGATGTATTTCCAAGTTAAACATGTACTTACTATGTACTTATTATAGTAATTATAATTACTGGGTAATAACTAGGTACTAACCCCGAACCCACCCCTAACCCATGTACTTACCTTATATTAGACAGTACTTTCTAGGTAAGTACACTGTAAGTACACGTAAGTACTGTACTGTAAAAAGGAGCGTTACCAACATAATGCACGAAAAATGTAGGATGGGATCTGAGTTTATCCCCCAGGAATTGGAATGGTGACGCGTCGTTGTACCAGAGGTGGAGAAGCTTGAGTAGTGTTTTGGCTGAAGGTCCTTGATTTCACCACTAGATAGCGTCATTTCAACCCTGCATTACTCCTCTTTTGTTAAATGGTTTTAACACTCTCACCTGTGTTGAATTACTCTTAATTGTCAACCCTATTTAATGCCCTGTACACATCATACAATTTTGGGCTGCCCCAGGCGAAAGATGACCAATCATGGTGATTTCTGTGGTCGTGGCTCCTAAACGGTGGTCCAACGTCGTACAGTGAGAGAGGTTCAAAGACGGCCATTGTCAAGGTCTCGCGACCAAAGACAGCCGGTGATAATTCTCTGACTGAGTCAGACATTTAGCAAGATCAAGGACGCCCACACCAGAGACCCGAGCTCGATCCCTAGCTGGATCATAACAGAGATATTTTGAACGCAACTAGTCAATTTGGATTTCATGTTGACGCTTTTTGAACACTGATCATGTTTTATGTTGCAGGAATGATTTTATTACATTCAAAACTAATTCACAGAGATTAATTGAGAGTTTATATGTTGTAGGCCTTGGTAAACACATGGAAGGAAGAGGGCTGTGCCATTGAGTACAGACCCTCTCAGGAGGAAGAGGATGGTACCGTGGGGAAGATGTTGCTGTGCTTGCAGACGCCATGGCAGAGGAGGCTTATGTTGCTGTATGGACAGCATATGTGCTTACTGGATGAGACCTATCGAGCGGGCAGGTGTGTTTGTTCAAGCTGAGTAATAATAATGAGCAGCTTTACAGCAGAATTGAATTAGATCATTATTGTCCTGTTTATCACTTTGAAACGATCTGTATTGTATAAAGCGCTATAATTAAATATGACTTGACTTGATTTGACCCCCATAGGGCCACAAGGGAGTGCTAGGGGGCCCTTGGAAAAGTTCAGATAAATGCAGTGTAAAAAATATAAAAAATAAAGAAATAATAAAAAAGATGAATTAACCAAATAAACAAATAAAGTTGAATAAACTACAAAATCTTGAATTAAATTACCAAATAAATAAACACTAAAATTTGATATTTTCTATCTAATATAACTATAAAAATAAATCAATTTTTAATTTTGCAGAGAATAGAAAAACTGCAATGTAAAGTAATTGACACATGTATAATATTAATGTATTATTTAGGTTTTTATACTTGAAAATATATAACTGCCTTTTAAACTTTAGGACGTGGGTGCCTCGCTTGAGTATGATCATATTTGTGGGTCCATGGCATCAAAAAGATTGAAAACCTCTGTACATAGTGCACAAAAATAAAAACCTCAAAATGGTATCTCTGCCTTTGCCTCACAGAAATTCACAGCCACTTTTCTTTCTGTGGGTGAGGACAAATGTCAGCTACGCTGCGGTTGGAGTGTTTGTAACTCAGACAGAGACTAAAGAAGTCATCGCAGAAGCCTTGAAGGTGTTTCAGAAGTGGAATTCAGACTGGAATCCATCACACTTCATGGTGGGCTTCTGTGAGGCGGAAATCGGTGCTCTGGAGGAGGTGTTTAAAGGTACTTTTGGACGTTTGAATAAAAAACAAAAAAAAACAATTAGTGGACAGATGGTTCTATATGGTTGCATCATTTTATCCTTTCAACAGTTTAACACACCACACCATGTAGCCTACACACCACAAGTGCTCAGGATCATTTTTGGTAATGATCTTCCGGCACTAAATCCTTTAAGATATTTATCTAGCTCCAGATGCGCTTCTTTTACGTCCTTTCAGCTCCATGCGTGTTGCTTCTCTCCCCCAATAAAGACATAAAGCGCTGCGTTACTGTATAACTAAGCTTCAGTCAGATGACGCGGTTCTTTTAACAACAGTAGCGCACACAGAGTGGTGAGATGCAAAAGAGATTGATTATGAAATGATTCAAATGAAAACATTAAAATGATCTTAACTTAACTTAGCTTTTACCTTCAAAATTAGTAATAAAACAATTGCAATTTTATCATTTAAAGATACATGCATGAAAACAGCATGTTTTTTCCTTCAACTCAAAAATGCAGTAGCACCTCATTGCAGTACACGAGATCCAGGGGGCGGAGTTGGATCCAGATCTAAGGGGTGGAGATGGGTAGGATTAGGGGTGGGGTTAGGGATCAGGGGGTGGAGATGGGTAGGATTAGGGGTGGGGTTAGGGATCAGGGGGTGGAGATGGGTAGGATTAGGGGTGGGGTTAGGGATCAGGGGGCGGAGATGGGTAGGATTAGGGGTGGGGTTAGGGATCAGGGGGTGGAGATGGGTAGGATTAGGGGTGGGGTTAGGGATCAGGGGGTGGAGATGGGTAGGATTAGGGGTGGGGTTAGGGATCAGGGGGCGGAGATGGGTAGGATTAGGGGTGGGGTTAGGGATCAGGGGGTGGAGATGGGTAGGATTAGGGGTGGGGTTAGGGATCAGGGGGTGGAGATGGGTAGGATTAGGGGTGGGGTTAGGGATCAGGGGGCGGAGATGGGTAGGATTAGGGGTGGGGTTAGGGATCAGGGGGTGGAGATGGGTAGGATTAGGGGTGGGGTTAGGGATCAGGGGGCGGAGATGGGTAGGATTAGGGGTGGGGTTAGGGATCAGGGGGTGGAGATGGGTAGGATTAGGGGTGGGGTTAGGGATCAGGGGGCGGAGATGGGTAGGATTAGGGGTGGGGTTAGGGATCAGGGGGTGGAGATGGGTAGGATTAGGGGTGGGGTTAGGGATCAGGGGGCGGAGATGGGTAGGATTAGGGGTGGGGTTAGGGATCAGGGGGCGGAGATGGGTAGGATTAGGGGTGGGGTTAGGGATCAGGGGGTGGAGATGGGTAGGATTAGGGGTGGGGTTAGGGATCAGGGGGTGGAGATGGGTAGGATTAGGGGTGGGGTTAGGGATCAGGGGGTGGGGTTGGGTAGGATTAGGGGTGGGGTTAGGGATCAGGGGGTGGAGATGGGTAGGATTAGGGGTGGGGTTAGGGATCAGGGGGCGGAGATGGGTAGGATTAGGGGTGGGGTTAGGGATCAGGGGTGGAGATGGGTAGGATTAGGGGTGGGGTTAGGGATCAGGGTGTGGAGATGGGTAGGATTAGGGGTGGGGTTAGGGATCAGGGGGTGGAGATGGGTAGGATTAGGGGTGGGGTTAGGGATCAGGGGGTGGAGATGGGTAGGATTAGGGGTGGGGTTAGGGTTAGTTAGGGTGAATCTGGATCCAACTCCTCCCCCTGGATTTCGTGTTCTGCAGTGAGGACCATCTCCAAAAATGGGCCTTTACAACATGGTATAATAAATGATAGGTGGGGTATTTTGAGCTGAAACTTCACAGACACATTCTGGGGACACCTGCCTAGTTCACACTACATGATTTAAAAACGTCGGGCTGAACTGTGCGGTTCACACTACATGACTTGCTCTCTGTGAAATCAGGAGTGTTCAAGTTGTTGAGCTAGTTCACACCACACGACACAACGTGATTGATCCGCAACAGGGGGTAACGCACTACACGCGTTGACAACAACTCTGTCACCCAACGATTCTATCTTGTCTACAAACCACGTTTTGTCACGAAAAATCACGCAATAAAACGAACCGGAAATGACGCGAAACAGCATGCGCGCCAATACCCAGCGAAGAAGACGAAGAAGAACACAACACGCGAACATGCCTTGCTCTGATTGGCTGTAGCTCATGACATCACGTGAGCTTGAGTCGTGCGACAGCTTTGGATATCTAACATGCTAGATATTTTTCTGGGCTCGGCGACGCGTCTGCAAGGCGTCTGCGAGCGTCTTTGATGCGTTGTTGGCTCTTTCATACTAACAGATTGGCGAGCGTTCATCGCCCGCTAATCTCCCGCGATTTGCACGCGATAACACCCTGACCTGTCGGCGAGCTCAACGATTTGCAAATCGGGCTTAAATCGGGCTTAAAATCATGTAGTGTGAACTAGGCTTAAGACGTATTTTATATCTTGTAAAATGGGGCATAATATGCCCCATTTAATTAGACGTGTCATCATTTCTAGCATGATGCTAATGATTAGATCATTTTGATTGTAATATTGCTGTTAGTAGATTAGATGTTAGTAGAAGAGAAATATCAAAAATGTCTTCTCAGATTTTGGACCACTTCAGATGCGGTTCCATTTTCAATTTTCCTCTAAATTCTGAACATAACTTTTGGTGGTCAGGTGAAGTTAGTAAACCGGTTAATATTATTCCTGTGCGTCATATGAGTAATATGAGGAAGAGTGATTAATATTGTATACATTTCATATCTTGATTTTAGGGTTACTAAAAGCTAAAAAAAAATATATTTCAATTTCAGGGGAACTTCCTAACATCTGAATGTTAAAGTACTGTTTTGTAATCACCCTTCCTTGTAGTCGTGCAGGCTGTCGCATTGAGTTGAGGAGATTGAGGAGATTGAGAAGGTAGATGCTACAAATGTGACAAATGAACAACATCTTTGTCATTATAGGTTCTAAAGTCCTCCTCTGTGATTTTCACAGAGAAAAGGCATGGATGGAGTGGACAGGAAAAAAGGAAAATGATGTGACATGTCAGGAAACGGTTCTTAAACTTCTACAGGCTATTGCAGATTCTCAGACGAATGAGGACTTCGAGAACAGCACTTTTACCCTTCAGCAACATCCAGACTGGCAGTCGAATGAAAAACTGAGAAGTTTTTTCAGAAAATGGCTTTGTCATGCAGAGGCGAGTATATTATTTCTGTGGAAGTTCTATTAATAATCAGTAATGATGATGGCGTGAAAACTAGTGACGCATATTATGCTTTTTGGTTTCCTGAACTAGAAATGGGTAAATGTGTTCAGAAATGAAAACCTGAATGAAGCCGTCTTCACAAATAAAGGTGTTGAAAGACAAAAGGAAGTCCTGAAGCATTCCTACCTTAAAGGTCACAGAAACTGCAGCCTGAGCGAAACTCTAATAGTCATTATGAGAGACTTCCTGCCGAGATCCTATCAAAAGTAAGAACTGGATTATTGTGGAAAGTCATCTGACACCTGTCATATTTTACCTTAACCCATTCAAAAAAATTCTTAAGACTTTGTGAGATTCATCCAATGATTTTGAAACTAAACATGAATTTGGCTGACTAAAAATCTCTGTTTCCATATACAGATACATTGAATTGAATATCAAATGCTCACGTAAATACAGCGGAAATGTGCCTTGTTTTCTAAGAGACAGACCAAGAATAATGGCTCAACACATCATGAAAAGGCACCAAGAGTCGCTGCTCTTCAATGCAAGAGACATAACGTCTGCTGGGGAGAACGTCTTCCGTGTTCAGAGTCAGACTTCACAGGAAGAACATCTGGTGAACTTTGGAAAAGGCGATGAGATGCCTTCATGTACATGCATGGACTGGAGGAGACATCTTCTCCCATGCCAGCATTTCTGTGCTGTTTTTACCTTAGTTCCTGGATGGAGTTGGGAGAATCTCAGCTCTGCGTACAGTAAGAACCCCCTCTTCACGTTTGACGAGGTTTGCCTTGGACAATCTAGAACACTTCCTCTTACTTCTGGTGATCTTCAAGGTGAAGAGCCTCTGAAGAAGAATCAGGAGAACGATGATAGTCCAGAGGGAGACGGCTGCACTTCCAGTCCAGAGAGAAGTCCGTCTCCTGCTGCTCCCTCAGAGAGCATCCTGATCACCCCTAGTGTTCAAGCAGAAAAAAGGGAGAAATGCGGTACCTTGTTAAAGGAGATATCTGATTTGACATGCCACATACATGATGGGACATTTCTAGATTCAGTAACTGATCGCCTTACAAATCTTTTAGAAGATTTGAGGCGACACACTGCCCATGATGACATCCTTAACCTTTCCTACACACCTCCATCCAAGAAAATGTGTTCGTCAGCACCCGCCGGGCACCCAGAGCCACTCAACACAATCCCAGAAAGATGTCCTCTATCTGGAATAGTTGGTGATGCGGACAACCCCCAAAAGTGACTTTTAAGGTGTTGCTTCTCGTGTGCATCGTGATTTGTGTCCGTACAAATTTTTGCCATTAAAATTTGTAATTTTGTTGTATGTGTGGTATTTTGAACTGTAGTCTCTCCTGTTCTTGAGAGATAATATTGGTGATGTAGCTTCACGGTCTGGGCTGGTAACTGAAAGGTCGTAAGTTTAAACCCCGCATGTGGTGGTGGATCATTGTTCTGTGCGGTCCTGACAAAACCAGCCTGCTGGTCATTAAAATAGCCATCTTGAGCATTTTTTTTTTTGTGTGGAATGTGGCAAGCAGGACAAGGCCGAGAGCTGTGAGAACGTAGCGAGGACGGTTGCATGAGTGCTAATGGAGCTTCCCTGATCTTTGTTACATAGAAGTTATGTCTGATATATACATTTTATTTGATATGACTTGTGCAGTCAAAGTTGGTTTGCCAACTGTTAATTAGTAACATTGCAACTTTTCACAAAGAATGCCAAAAAAGTTATAAACAACAAACATAGAGTATAGAGTAATATTGGCATTTGATCTGAATATTACTCACAATCCCCCTTTTTTTTTTTTAACATTACCTACACAACTGTGGTTTATGGTTGGAAAGAAACCCTCACTTGTGGTTGACGCAGAGCTATATAAGAACTCCTTCACGGGCTTCTGAGGAACACTGAGGTTCAGATTCTGAAAGCTGCTTCATCAGGCTGGTTAAAGATTATCTGCTAAGATGCTCCGGAACGTCTTTCTTGTCAGCTTGCTCATATATGCAGGTAAAATCATCACTATTTCAGTTCTAAAATGACTTGTATTTTGGATATCTTATGGCATTGCTGCTTGTGTGTCAATGGACGTGGCCTGAAATCACAAGAACTTACAGTATAATAAACATGCGTGAAGAGTCATTTGCCTTAACTTGGCATTAATTGTTCATTTATTTTTAGTCTGCGCAGTTCACTGGGAGGATCGTGAAGTGGGTTCTGCTGAGGAAGAACTTGAGGATCTTGAAGAAATCCTTGTAAGCTTCTCCTGATGCCAATAGTTTGTTACTTTGTATTGTCTCATTGAGTCAATGCAGAGAGATTTGGAGATGAAAAGAATTCTTATCTGCTTTATTATCGGTTTCCTATTTTGTTGTGTTTTCAGGTTGACAGCTTGACGAAACAACAGATTTTTACCAGGTGCTCGATATGTAAATACATCACGAAGAGGGTGAAAAAAAGAATCTCCTCTAAGGCATCTCCGGTGAGTATCATGATTACTGTCGCAGTATCTAACTGTATGTGCTTTTCACAACAGCTTTTACTAATGACATCATTTCCCTCAGGATGCAATCAAAGACAAGCTTAACAACACCTGTGAGAAAGCCGGGCCACTGAAGTCTAAGTGCAAGCACTTTGTTGAGAAGTATTTGAAAACTTTGATTGATGAGCTGATGACTGATGACGGGCCAAGAACCATCTGTGTTAAAGTCCATGCCTGCAAGTGAGTGGCTCAGTAATATGCAGTGTTGGGGGTAACTCATTACAAGTAACTTGAAAACTGAGAAACGCAATTAGTTACTTTTTAAGGAAGTAACACAATATTGCAATACATTACTTTTAAAAGTAACTTTCCCCAACACTGGTAATATGGTAATACATAACATGAGGAGATTTTAAATAACTATTTTTTATTATTATTTGTTCTAGGCCAAAACCACCCATAAAGAAGTTAATTTTTTCTCATGATCCTGCTTCTAACAATTTCTGAAAAAGAATACATTATTACTGTGTGAAAGCATTAAATGCATTACAATGAAAGCAAAATAAAATTATATGAATCAAACAATCAATTATCTGTTTGTTTTCTTTCATTTCGGTTGAATCCAAATGTTTTTCTAATAGGCTAAATCAAAAGTGTTTACAATACATCATTAATAAAATTTAACAGAATAAAAGGCTTTGTGATGATATTCAAAAACTAAATGTATAACAATATTTACCAGATCCGTTTAGTGTCTATTGCATTGTTTGCCAGTGAAGGTCTAAATAAAACCTAATTATTCTTTTTTAAAAGCTCATGTTTCCTACAATGAATGCAGATGCTTGTAGGATAAGAGCATTGCAATGAAATGGCTCAGTCAAAAAGTATATATACGTTTTAGAAGACTCAACTGCTTCTTTGACAATAAATATTTGTTCAGTCTGCTGTGATTATGACAGGTTTACATGAGCTTTTGATGGATCTGCAGTTGAATGAAGTGTTCTTGTGGCTAACCACCAGACTCCTTCCAAAAGTAGGACATAGTCAAGAGTTCCCATCACTGTCTCACACTGTCACATCATTTAAAGTGCCATGCTCGATTAGATGATGTCTTGCATTGTGTGACTACACTAGTGCACTTCTTTATGAGTGGCTGAGGACACCCTTTTACTATAGCAACAATCCTGTGAAAAAAATATATATTTTCATGCTTTTAAGGGCCCCAGAATCAGGCAGTGATAAAGCATAATGTAATATTTGATGTTTAGATGTAGCTTGCAATAAGTAAGTTTGGGGTCAATAATATATTTAATTAATATTATATAGCCAGGACTCGTTAAATTGATCATAAGTGACAGTAAATACATTTTTATTGTTACAAAATATTTCTATTTCGAATAAACGCTGTTCTTTTGAACTTTCTCTTCATCAAAGAATCCTTAGAAAAATACTGAACATGTGCATTAGAGAAAAACAGAGTTAAGATTTGAGTATGTAGTCCAAAAAGACTTTTTTTTGTCCGTACAAGTCAAGTATACTTAAATAAAATATTAACCCTCTATGGGACATCATCATTTATAAATGGCACAAAGAAAATTGCATTTAAAATACAATAATAATATTCAACCCCCCAAAAAATTATTTTAGTATTATTATATGACATCCTCTTCAGCCAATAAAATTAAAAAAAATCTATCTCCAATGGGCTTGACGTTTTTGGCAACAAGTAGGTGAAGGGCCTTTCCAAATACCCACACTTCTTTGCACTTGACCACTTGCTATACTTACCTGACGTATTTCCTGTATTTGGCCCAACTGTTCAAGTAGTTGTGAAGACTGCAAGTGTGTGAAGAACTTTTGATTACCCGATGGGACACAATTGTAGTGTTGCAAAAATGCAAGTGTTAACAGAGCTTTATTTGGATTTTCAATACTTTGCATTTTAAAATAAACTTCTAAATGTCTGGTCAGTAGTCCTATGTTCGTTCGTCTAATACGTAACAGAAAACACAATTTAAAATTGTGGTGCTTTTAATTAAAGGATAAAAAGCAGTTGCAAATATTGTTCAAAATACACGTAGCCTACTCATCTTTGCATAAAATGACACTTTAACAATATGTTTTACTACCAAATTACATGTAATTTATAATTAATGTGACTGACAGTGGAATGTTTTCCTCGCTATCTCACGCTATCTAATGCATGATGGGATATGCTTAGCCTCGAATACCGCTCCAATGCGGTATTCAAGATAGTGTAGTGTGCATTAGGGCACTGCACTTTGGTATTTTTTAGACATGGGACAGTCTTGCGCACGCACCTCTTGTCACGTACACGTGCTTTCAAGTGGCAAGTGTGGGTATTTGGAAAGGCCCATAAGCACATGTTAGTCGAGGCTTCACTGTGAGTTCATTTTAGAAATACAATAAATTTTTAAAAAATATTATTGTACATCCATTTTGGTCATTTTTTAATGAACATTTTGTAATATCAATAAGTGAAAGACCAAAAAATCGGTATGTCATGCATAAATTACATTCCTTTAAGGGGATACCTATTTTCTGTGTATCTGCACACTAGCATGCAATATAATAGCCTTTTTGCCTGTGTTTTGGGTTAATGTTAGTATGTTTTATAGAAGACAGAGAGGAAAAGCTGTACATTTTCCAGAAAGTATTCATGATACCCTTATGGAAATTAACCAGGGTTTTACTACAAATAAAAGAACAACAACAAAAACATGGTTATTGTAGTTTTTGCTACATAACCATAGTTTAACCATGGGTTTTGTAGTAAACTGTGCTAATACAGATAGTAATCAATCCACCAAAAAAACATGGTTACTACACTTTTAACTATAATAAAACCACAGATTGGCAGCAGTGCATAAGAAAATAAATATGCATGTTCAGATATTCATACAACAAAATATTCTAGGGGCCATGCACGTTTTGTGAAAATGATCAAAAACGCTGGTGTTGGCTGGCAACTTAAAAAAAAAACACTGGCAGGGAAAGAGTTAAAGTACAGTTAAAGGTGTATTTCAAGTAGGCCTATAAAAATGTATACCTAGGAACATATTGGTAGGCTACTTAAAGGGCAAAAATAATATTTAAATACTAAACTATAAGTATAATGTTAAAATCACTTAAAGAATACTTACAAGTAGGCCTATATACTTGCATTATAAAACTACTAAACTAGTAATTTACGGAGAGTATATTTTAAAAAGTACTTTAATTAACTAAAAAATGTGCCACAAGTAATTGACTAGTAAACTATCAGTGTACCTACAAGTTCACTTGTAGTTGCAGTACAAATATATACGCTGTAGTGTACACTAAAAGTGGGCCAATTTAGTCCCCAGTAGTATCGAAACAGTACACTTACAAGTATACTATTAGTACATTGATATTAGAATACTAACTTCATAAAGTATACTTTAAAATATACTTTAACTTTAATATAATCATTTTAAAGATGGTAATGATTTCATATTGGTGTTGGTAATAAAAATATTTGCATTCATTATTTTCAATTAATTCATTACTGGGTTTTGGAAACTCATTGATCAGTAACAGTATGGTGGTTGAATTTAAGTTAAGTTTAAATCAAAGTAAATATGTACAAAATATAAGTATACCAATTTCAACGGGTACAAGTTAGTAGGATTCCTTAAGATGCAAAAGACCTGAATAACTGAAGACAAAATGTGGCCAGCTGGGAAATCTTCCAAGTCAACAGCTCACAACCACACAACCCATTTCCTCTGTCATGTCTTTCTCACAGTCACTGATACATTCAAATACCATAAAATATCTGATAACATCAGAGCATCTGTAAATCCACTTGAATCCTGCTGATGCATCTCAAAATAGTTTTAAAAACTGACCATGCACCATTACAGATTCAACAGAAGCTACTGTATATTTATTGTAATTCTTCTTACTCAATGCCAAGTGTGAGAAAAACATGAGTACGTCTCTTCTGAAACTGGTTCAAAGGAAATGATGACAGCTACCTGCCCTGCATTTCATGATACATGACATTATTTTAATTCATTATGTTTGGCTGAAGGCTTTAAAGTGACTGAAAATAAGTGTGTTAGCATGGGTTGTTTGTCAAATGTTGCTTTTAGTTGTCGGGTTGTTGAAGGTGTGAAAACGCTAATGCAGATCAGGTTCACACAACAAAATCATCATTACTCACCCTTCATGTCGTTCCATTACCTCACTATAGGGCGTTCTTACTTCTATGAATTTCTAGGCATTTTATTGTGACCAGGGTTGGAATAGAGAACCATTTCTTATTCAGATCCAGTCAAAAACATAAAGTACAGTGCATCCAGTGTAATGTGAATCCCAAGAATGCCATATCACCCTGTAGCCTAAGACTGGTTGCCCACTGAAGCTAAGCAGGGCTGAGCCTGGTTAGTACCTGGATAGGAGACCTCCTGAGAAACCAGGTTGCTGCTGGAAGAGGTGTTAGTGAGGCCAGCAGGGGGCGCTCACACATGTGGTCTGTGTGGGTCCTAATGCCCCAGTATAGTGACGGGGACATTATACTGTCAAAGAGCACCGTCCTTCGGATGAGACGTTAAACCGAGGCCCTGACTCTCTGTGGTCATTAAAAATCCCATGGCACTTCTCGTAAAGAGTAGGGGTGTAACCCCGGTGTCCTGGCCACATTCCACCCATTGGCCCCTCCAATCATGGCCTCCTAATAATCCCCATCCACTGAATTGGCTCTATCACTCTCTCTCCTCTCCAACTATAGCTGGTGTGTGGTGAGCGCACTGGCGCCGTTGTACTCTGGCTGCCATTTCATCATCCAAGTGGATGCTGCACACTGGTGCTGGTTGAGGAGAGAACCCCTGATATGATTGTATAGCGCTTTGGGTGTACATTAGTACATATGAAAGTGCTATATAAATGCATCATTCATTCATGAATGTGTGGGTTCTTTTATGTGAATCACACATAATCATTTACATTGTAGTAGTCTATTAGATACACATTTGGTTGTTTATATTATTTTATAAATATGAATTAAATTAAATGTTACCATATTCTTTTAGCTTTATTGTTTAATGCATAATTAAAGTAGCCTGGGAAAACCCAGACAACTTCCGGCAAATTTAGATTTGCTCTGAAAGTTAGTCTGGCAAAGAGCTCATTCAAGCCCATCTCCAATCCGTCGAAATCGAGGCACCAATCAGAAACGTTGGGGCGGGCTTTACACGATGACGACAGCGCTGGGATTTTGAAGCAGATTTTGTAGCCTACATTACAAAGATGGATGCCACCGTCGAACATCACTCGTTCGAATCAGCTATCGCGTGTGTTTTAAGCGATTTGAACGTTTCCTTTTTGTTAAAAACCGAGCAAAGAACAACACTCGGAGATGTTTCTCCTCCGCTCTGCATACGTCATCTCCTTCATCGCTCTGATTGGGTTTAGGTCTATCCGCGACAGGGCCGTGCACAGACCTTTTGAGGGGCATGTGCTGAAACTGAAAAAGGGCACCCCCCTCCCTTTTTTTTATATCAAGATTATTTAGTAAGCCTACATAAAAGGAGGAAATGGTCACATCTTCATGACAAATCAAAAAAAAAGAGAATAGTCTCAAAAGCTTTAGATTTATTCACTATTAATAACAACCATAATAATAATAATATAGATATACAAGGTTTTAGGGCTTCTTTAAACCTAATTACAACAGCAACCTTCTGTGAGCCATGCTTGAAGATGTTTATGACTTCACTGTGGCCATGAAGGTCTGAGAGTCTCTCCTCTGAGCAAAGGCTTTGGAGTTGGTTCTTAACCGGCTCAGGAACAGACGTGGCGTGAACAGTCTCTTTAATTAACCTAATTTTTGAAAAGAATCTGATTGCAAAGAAGAATTTGATGGCAAAAACTTGATACTGCGGAGGACCAATGTTGGTCTCTTGAAGGTCTCTTTTATTGTAAGCCAGCAATGAAAAAAATTATAAAATAATGTGAAAAGTACAGTTGCAGTGAAAAGCATTTCTGAAGGATCACGTGACACTGAAGAGTACTGACCTGGAGTAAAGATGCTGAAAATTCAGCTTTGACCAAATAAATAAATTAGGCTACATTTTAAAATATAAAAACAGTTATTTTAAATTGTAAAAATATTTCACAATATTACTGTTTTTGCTGTATTTTGGATCAAACAAATTAAGCCTTGGAATGAATTAAATCATGAATTACATTCTGCATGATAAAATATAAAGATTTAACAGTGATCTTCTGTAATGTTTTTTTAAAGTTACTACTACAATATTACTGTAGTAAAACCATGTTTTACTACATTTATACATGTGAGGACGACCGGAGAGTATAGAATAGCCTACTATATAAAATTACATTGCGAATATGTGCATATTAACAGCCTTGAATTAACCTTAATTTAATATTATTACCATAACATGATTAAATGTTAATAAATTAAGTGTATCAGCAATCATAAATCAAAGAACACATTTCTTAGAAATATATGTTACCTAGGCGACGAGGATCACTTTGTAGTTCCAGTACGAACAGCGCGGGGGCGCGCCTGTGCTTATGATTTTCCGATGGAAACGGCGCCGGCGGCATCATTACATTTTCATCAACAGCTTACCAACTAGATTGTTATACTTATAGCTATATATAGGTGCTCAGTTTTTCCTGTTGTAAAATACATTTGGTCAAAATCGCATTTTATAAAAAATGAAATGCTACTGAATGCACAGGCTGTTTAAGTGTAGGCTATGTATTGGCTATGACTATGGCAAATGCTAGCATAGCCCTCTCTCTCAGGTCCCACATATCTTAGTCAGACATCAAATAAATAAAATATGAGCTTTTTTATAAAACGGTTAGTTACAATCCTTGATTCTGATTGGTCAATAGCTGTGCTTTATTCACGATAAAACACGGCTATGACCGCTTCACCCAACGGTTCTATGTATCACTACACAACACCCCTAGCAACCACTCTTAGCAACTTAAACAGATGTTTCATCTCATTGATATTGTTCATTTAAAGCTAGAGCAGAGCATTGTGAGAGATCGAGTAAGCGAGTGTACCTGCATTTACAGTAGACGTAGCATTTTCCTTCAGGTCAGTCCTATATTCATAATAAAAAAATGCGTTTGAATGTCCGCTGCATATTTTGTCCTTTTAACAGTCATGGGGTTTTCCGTGCATAACGTTAGTCATCTGTCAGTTGCGTCTGTCTTCTCCGTGATCACAAGTTCGAGTCCTTTCAAAAGCCTTCTCTACAGACTCACTCACTCACTCACTCATAAAGACAGTCTTTGCCGCCATCTATTGGCGAAATAATATATGTAACTTCTGTTGCTGTTCACGTTCCGTGACTATTTTTTCCAGCGGAAGGCAGGCTTTTAGTGATTTTACTTCATGAAAGTTGCATAGATACATATTTTTCGGCTTTAATATTTTTATTGTGTGGCAACCGTTTTATAAAAGCAATAAGGTACTCGAGGCAAGTGCTGTATCGTGAATAAGTAACGGCTGAAGGGGTTGCAGGCACTCCGCTTCGCGTCGTGCCTAACAACGCCCTCCAGCCGTTACTTATTCACGATACAGCACAGCCTCTCGTACCTTATTGCTTACATAGACAACGTGTTTAGTACTTATTCAAACAACAAGATCTGTGTTTACCCTTGCAAAACTTCGTTCAGCTGATGTCTGCTGTGCGGCCGCTGCCGAGCTTCAGTTCATTCAGTCACGATAGAGGGGGCGGAGTTATCAGCTTTACTGACAGTTTGAGGATCGAACAAGATTTACACAAGCTCTTTTTAAGAACTTCCATTGGCTAAATATTTTTAAAACAGACAGATAGACTTAAAGGGTGACCAATAGCATTGATTTATAAAAAAAATAAAAAAAACACCACCACCAAAAAAAGGGCACTTCGGCAAAAAGGGCATGTGCTCTGCACAGGTTGAGCCCTACCTGTGCACGTGCCTGATCCGCGATGTCCGGATACAAAGTGCAAATTCTTCATCAGTTTCCCAATCATGTTTCAGAGTTTGAGTGACGTGGGATTTATATGCTTCTGCCATTTCCTAACCATTATGATGATGTTTTGAAAAAAGCAGTTGCATTTGAGGCCTAGAACATTAGCCTAGACAAGTTTGTATTTGCCACAAATGATGGTCGATTTTGACGTGTTTTGTACATATTCCATGGTAGTACCATAGTATTCTTGGATAATGATGGCACATTTAATTCCAGTGCTATGGTATAACTATCTAACACCATGAGTGAACCATGGCATAAACATATAGCCTTAATTTTGGGTTTAATTTCTGCTTTTAGCATTGACATTGAAATTTAAAGAATGATAATTAGATATAGTATATAATCAAAGTAATATAATTTAGGATAAATGAGTATCACACACAGGAAAATGAAAAAGTCACATCTTGTCATGTTGAGGGGTGTTACTGGTTTCACTTCACAACGTCCCGTGGTTTCTGGTTGAACAAATAGGTGTTTTAAACAGAGTGGCACCAAATGTCTGCAGCAAACCAGGGGTGAGTTTCATTGCGTTCAGACTCTTTTGCCAAACAAGATGCTGCGAAGTATCATCCTGATCACCCTGCTGATATCCTCAGGTAAAATCAGATCGCAGATCAGTAGTTGTCTTTATCAATCTATTCATCTTTCTTTCGTGTGCCTACCAGTTTGGAGCAGCTTACGTTTATACATTTGTAATGCTGGTCATTCTAAAACCAGCTCGAATGTGCCCAAAATTTACATATTTTTTTTTGTCTGTTTAACAGTAGGCTATATTAAGTGCCCACATATTGTCTTCTAGGTTTAGTATGTGTTAAATTTATCATGTATTTTTTTCCCCTCACAGTTTGTGCTCTTCACTGGGAAATGCACAAAGAAGAGTCTAATGGAAATGAAATAGAAGAAGGCTCTGTGAGTTTGTGTCATTTTGTGTTCATTTGTACAGTGGACTGCTTTCACCAGATTATTGTTTATCAGTAGTGGTCAAAAAATGTACATTCATAGACACTTCCTTGACCTTTTCAATTATTTTTCAAGATTTTTTGAGAGATTTCCATAATTCCATAAATACCAAAAAAAATGAAAATTAACTAATTTAGCTGAATGATCATTTTACACATTTCATCAAAATTCACAACTTATCTTAAAACAGGAAAACTACATGATCTATTTATGGTGATGATGAAGATGGTATATTTTGTATAAGATGGTATAACTACCTAACTGTTAGTTGACGTAGTTGTGAAGTTCGATGCAAGTTAAACTCCAAAAGTGTTTGCAAGATGACAGATGTCAAGCTAGTCATGTTATATTTGAACTGCTAGGTTCAGACTGTCATTATTTAAACTATTGACTCTAAAATCCTGTATATTGTCTTGTTAGGGTGATATACAAACAGAACAACTCCCTGGAATGTGCTGGGCTTGCAAGTGGGCCATGAAGAAGTTGAAAAGACGGCTCTCCAACGGCGCGACTGCGGTTGGTACAAGTACTCTTTTATACGATTTCATGAAAAAAATGATGTTATTCAAATACAGAAACTACAGTATTAGAGAGTACTAAAAGATTACCAGAGTGTGCTTGTCACTTCCCTACAGGAAGAAATTAAAAAGAAGCTGTCGATGGTCTGTGATGAGATCGGGTTCCTAAAGTCACTGTGTAGGAAGTTCGTGAACAAGTACATGGACACTCTGGTCGAAGAACTTTCAACTACTGATGATGCCAGAACCATCTGTGCTAACATTGGCATTTGCAAGAAAAAGGCATGGAGAAATTAGTTCATTCGTGCAAAAATTTTAATTCTGTCATCAATTACGCACACTCATGTCGTTTCAAGACTTTCGTTCATCTTTGACACACAAATCTGAGAGATTTCTGTCCCTTCATTGAAAATCACACGTGTGACTTCTCTGTTCATATGCAAATAAAAGCCAACATTTAATCTGTTCATCATATAAAGCGATCGCATCTCTTCAGAATACTGGATTAAACCGCTCAATTCGAATGGATTTCTTCTGCAATCTCTTTATTAAAGTTTTGACGCGTCACAGTTTTGGGTTAATAGACTTCCAACGGAGGGACAGGAATCTCTCTGATTTGTGTTCCGAATATGAACAAAAGTCTTATGGGTTTGGACCGACATGAGAGTGAGTAAATGATGACTGAATTTTCATTTTTGGGTGAACTATAAATTTAATGGTAAAGTAATTTTTGTATTTGCTTTAGCTGGAAAAGTTGATGAAATTCTGCAGTGTACTAGGAGTTAATAGTGTGATTATTGTGGTTTTGTATGTCACAGTTTTGTTTTCATGTTTTTTTTTTTTCATATTTGTCACATACACCCAGCTTTACACCACTGTTTTTGTTTCTGCAATCAACCGGAAAATAAATGTGTGAAAAGCATTCATGTTTTGTGGTGTCTTTGCTCTTTTCAAATTTTTGGAAATTACAAACAGAGCATGCTTGAATTTGTATTTTATTGGTCCATTAGCACCACACCACATACATTGATGTCTCATGCCCATTTCAAACTCATAATTTCTTGAATTTCACAAACTAATCACCAATAAAGACAATTTGCAGAAAGACCAAATGGAATAAAATGGATTTGAGTCACAAGTATAAACAAACATACAAATAGTGTCCATACAAATAGTTACAATAAAAAAAATACATAATGATTTCATACACGCTACAGTTAGACAATATTTACAGACGAAAGTTTTCAAACATTCACCCATTAACAGTTAACTTTGTACATAAACAATACTAGCAGAGGTTATATTTAGACTAATGCAGTTTACAGCGAGGCTGCAGTGACGCTCAGCATGCATTTGGAGTTGCGAGAGAAGACATGCACAGGTTCAGTTCTCCGTCTCCAGCTCTGCTGCAGTGCATCCTGGTCCAGCTTATTTAGACTCTGGGAGCACAAACGCAGGTCACGGATGTGATCAGAGAGACCGTCCAAATAAACATCACCCAGTGGTCCTGACACCTGACAGCCTGTCGTGAAGAACCAACTTTAAACGTTAGAGGACACATACTGTAAAGTACACAATAAAGTAGGGCTGCCCCCTAATAGTCGACTAACCGTTAGTCGACTAGAAGAGGTTTGGTCGACAAACATTTTATTAGTCGGTTAGTCGCAAAAAAAAAAGGCAATAAAAGGCTCGTTATTATGATTTATGGCTTATTAATATAAACGTGTGAAATCGCTTAAATGAACTAGTCGACTGGAAAAATCTCTAGTCGAGGGCAGCCCTACAATAAAGCCACATTTACAAACGACAGCAATCATTTTAAGTTTGTTAAAATTGTTGGTGATTGTAAGCTTCTCGAACTGTATTTCCTGAGATACCGCAAGATGCAAGATTATGATCTGACTAGATGCAGCAATATCATTAAAAAAATGATGCGTGGGAAACGGTGTCAAAGACTTGTCATCGTTCTGAGTGAATTTGATATCTTGTTCATGATATGATGCAGAAAAATATATCCACACATTACAAACACTTTCCCAATTTACTTTTTAGCAGTAATAAATTTGATTACATATTTGAACTAGCAATTCCTCACATTTATGATCAGATTTGAAAGCTTAAAAAGTAATAGTACAGGTCTGAATTGTCAGTAAACCTATTACACAGTACCCTTAAATCATCTTTGAGGTTAACCGTCTTGCTTGTGTGCATGTCACGTTTTTGGGGTTTGAACCTACAAACTTTACGTTATCAGCCTCGATCTTTAATCACTAAACCACTGGCAGGTTCAAAAGCAAAATTCACAATAAAAGGACAATTTATGTGTGGCAAGCAGGACGGGACCGAGAGCCATGGGAACGGAGCGAGGCTGGTGGAGCGAGTGCTAATGAGACCTTGAGTCACACGGAGGAGCTTCGGAAGGATAAAAGGGAGGAGTGACGACAGTGAAGGACGAGAGTGAAACAAGCCTGGACTTTACGTTGTGTTTTGTGTTAGTTTAAGTGGCATTCGTCCGTGAGGGGCTGCCTCTTTACTTTTGTTTTGTTGTTTGTTTATTAAAGTTGTTTATTAAGACTAAATGGAATAAAATGGGTTTGAGTCGCAAGTATAAACAAACTCACGGTCCATACAAACAATTACAATAAAAAAAGATATAATGACGCTGAAACCCTATCGTAATTGTTAAAATTTCCAAGGATCAGCATTCTCCCCTAAAAGTGAAGACCAAACCATTAGTTGTAGAGACTTGAAACTTTGAAGGCTGGCGGTATTCGCACGTCTACAACGTCACCAAGGCTCGCTCCGATCGGCCTGATGAGGGCGCTACAGCGGTCAAAAGTACGAAATCGCTCATAACTCCTAAACCGTTTGGCATAGGCTCAAGTGTCGGTTTCGATTGTCGCCCTGGCAAAATTTTCAGGTATTTGGGGTTTTTTTTTGTTGTTGAAAACCTACTTTTGCAAACTAGTCTTTGGTTTTTGGCCCAATCAGAACCAAACCAGTGCAGCAAGATTCTCTGGAGTCTGATTGTCAATGAATTATTATCAAAAAAAGTTGAAATTTCCATTCACGGTCTCTAAAGGCCTGTTCACACCGGGACGAATTTCGCGCGCGATATTCGCCGACGTTTAACGCCTCGTGACTAAACAAAGGGCGCCAATGTGAGTGTGCACACCGGCGCGAAAAACGCCACCCGTAAAAGCGTCATTTTTTTTAAAAACGCCTCGGGTTCGTTTTTTTGGTTTGACGCGCCGCGTCAAAAACTATCCGACCAATGAGATTGCCGCTTTTGCTCACGTGTCTGGAGCTTCTGAAGTTACAGTAAAACACAACTTGGGGGCGCTCAAACACAAAACGGTCTTGCTGAGCACACATACGTAACGGCGAAGAAGATGCGCCAAGTAGCGTCTACACCATAGATATCCATAATAAAGGCCGCGCTGCTGGCCAAATATGGCCTTTATTATGGATATCTAAGGTCTACACTGCCGGGAAGAAATAAGACGAGGAAGATGCGAGGCAAGATGAATGTAGAGCTTCTGGTCTCGTTGGTGTCGGAACATAAAGAACTATATGACAAACGCGACAGCGACTACAAAATAGGACTATTTCTGTTTTACATTAAGCGCCATCTAATGTTAGGGAATGAATTAGCATGTTCACTCGGCTCATCGTCAGCGAAAATCGTTTGGGTGTGAACACAAAAAACGCATTGAAAAACGCTGACGATTAACGCACGCCGATATTCGTCCCGGTGTGTACGGGGCTTAAGGTCCGCCAAAACGTTCATGGAGCCACTTTGACTAAAATGGCTATAACTCGTGAGCGGAATGAGATATGTTCACCAAAGTTGGCACACATATGTAAGAGTTCATTCTGTGGTCTCGTGAAAAGAGACTGGTTGCGCTATAACATGGATAAAAACGTAATGACTATAACTACGCAACCCTAAGTATGATTGACTTGAAAATCGCCATGCTGTGTCTCTGTCCAAGGTACCAAGACTGCCTTGGAGGTCATTTGCGTATCCCAAAGATAGCTATAGCAGGGCCATTTAGAAAATAGGCGTGGCCAAGTCTAACCAAAAGCCTATCATTCCTAAACAAAAGCATAAAAAGCAGCAACTTTTATGGAGATTGGCCCATAGGTGGGGCTATAACTGTTAAAAAGCTGTATTTCTATGGCAAATATTTCTGTTTTACAGAAACTGAAAATGGCCCTCTTTCTGCCTGATTTGCTTAGAACTTCATGAAATTTGGTGCAAATTTGCACATGTGTCACATGGTTCTAAATAAGCATGGAAACTTTTATGGACATCGGGCAACTGTTACAAAGGAGAAAAAAGTAAACTGCCTATATTGGCTATAAATGGTCTTTTCCATTTATGATCTAAGTGATTACATGCTTGCTAAATAAAAGATAATACCTTTATACACGCATGCTTAAAGGCCGTAAAGTGCTTGAACCCCATTAATTGCTGCTTGCAGCTATATTTCTATAATTAAAGTTTCATGTTAAATGTTCGCCAATTCCAGGGCTCTGCCTTCCTTTGTAAACAAACTTTGCTACATTATGCCTCCGAGCAGACAAAATAATGGCAATCAAACCTGAATATCCCTAAAAAGCACCAGGGGAAAAGAAAATACCTTGAAGGTTGAGATGGGTCAAAGGTCGCTGGGCCTCCATTAAAGCGTTAAGGAGACTTTGAAGACCGGCTGAGGTCACTGAAGGGTTGGCAGACAGGTCTAAAGACACCAGGGAAGGACAAACAGGAAGACACCTAAAAACAACCAATGATCATTATTGATAATATATTATAAATATGTAATATTTACAATAATAATAATCATTATTGAAAAGGGGCTGAAAACTAAAATAAGGATATAAATGATGCATTGACATTTCGGTATAGTAATAGAAGAGTTGAAATATTCACCTAGCAAGCAAAAGGACGCTGTGGTCCGTAAGGCCATTTCCAGCCAGATTTACGTGTGTGAGTGGACAGTCACCCTGGAAGCCAAACACAAACATTTAGTCAATTTTATTTACATAGCTATACAATGTTACAGGAAGATAGTGAAGTGAAATACCCGTATAAAACAGACTATATTCTTTTTTTTTTTTTTTTGCCGGACGCTACTATGCATGTGTGTAGCAAAATGAATGATGCATGGGTGGAGGTTTGATGCACATGCAGTTATTTAAAGGGTTAGTTCACCCAAAAATAAAAACTCTGTCATCATCCAAACCTATATGAATTTATTTCTTCTGCTGAACACAAAAGATGATATTTTGAAGAATATATTGATGGACCCCATTGACTTCCATAGTATGTGTATACTATGCCCATCAACCATTTGCTTTTTCTTCAAAATATCTTTTTCATTTTTGGTTTAATTAACCCTTTAACGTCCAACTTGTCCCTCTGTTCCAACTGTATTACCAACCCATAGGTCTAAAATGGAATAATATAATGATTATTTGTAGCTTAAACTTAAAGTTTATTAAATTACATCAGTTTTACCCAGTATTTAGTGTCCAGTTATTTATTTGCGTGGATTTGTGCATGTTTCTTTT